CTCTTTAAAGTAGAGACACTACATACTGATATACACCTGAACATCAGCAGGAGAGGACTCTTTAAAGTAGAGACACTACATACTGATATACACCTGAACATCAGCAGGAGAGGACTCTTTAAAGTAGAGACACTACATACTGATATACACCTGAACATCAGCAGGAGAGGACTCTTTAAAGTAGAGACACTACATACTGATATACACCTGAACATCAGCAGGAGAGGACACTTTAAAGTAGAGACACTACATACTGATATACACCTGAACATCAGCAGGAGAGGACTCTTTAAAGTAGAGACACTACATACTGATATACACCTGAACATCAGCAGGAGAGGGCTCTTAAAGTAGAGACACTACATACTGATATACACCTGAACATCAGCAGGAGAGGACTCTTTAAAGTAGAGACACTACATACTGATATACACCTGAACACCAGCAGGAGAGGACTCTTTAAAGTAGAGACACTACATACTGATATACACCTGAACACCAGCAGGAGAGGACTCTTTAAAGTAGAGACACTACATACTGATATACACCTGAACACCAGCAGGAGAGGACTCTTTAAAGTAGAGACACTACATACTGATATACACCTGAACACCAGCAGGAGAAGACTCTTTAAAGTAGAGACACTACATACTGATATACACCTGAACACCAGCAGGAGAGGACTCTTTAAAGTAGAGACACTACATACTGATATACACCTGAACACCAGCAGGAGAGGACTCTTAAAGTAGAGACACTACATACTGATATACACCTGAACATCAGCAGGAGAGGACTCTTTAAAGTAGAGACACTACATACTGATATACACCTGAACACCAGCAGGAGAGGACTCTTTAAAGTAGAGACACTACATACTGATATACACCTGAACATCAGCAGGAGAGGACTCTTTAAAGTAGAGACACTACATACTGATATACACCTGAATATCAGCAGGAGAGGACTCTTTAAAGTATAGACACTACATACTGATATACACCTGAACATCAGCAGGAGAGGACTCTTTAAAGTAGAGACACTACATACTGATATACACCTGAACATCAGCAGGAGAGGACTCTTTAAGTAGAGACACTACATACTGATATACACCTGAACATCAGCAGGAGAGGGACTCTTTAAAGTAGAGACACTACATACTGATATACACCCGAACATCAGCAGGAGAGACCTCTTTAAAGTAGAGACACTACATACTGATATACACCTGAACATCAGCAGGAGAGGACTCTTTAAAGTAGAGACACTACATACTGATATACACCTGAACATCAGCAGGAGAGACTCTTTAAAGTAGAGACACTACATACTGATATACACCTGAACATCAGCAGAGAGGACTCTTTAAAGTAGAGACACTACATACTGATATACACCTGAACATCCAGCAGGAAGAGGACACTTTAAATGGAGAGACACACTACATACTGATATACACCTGAACATCAGCAGGAGAGACTCTTTAAAGTAGAGACACTACATAATGATATACACCTGAACATCAGCAGGAGAGGACTCTTTAAAGTAGAGACACTACATACTGATATACACCTGAACATCAGCAGGAGAGGACTCTTTAAAGTAGAGACACTACATACTGATATACACCTGAACATCAGCAGGAGAGGACTCTTTAAAGTAGAGATGCTTCATACTGATATACACCTGAACATCAGCAGGAGAGGACTCTTTAAAGTAGAGACACTGCATACTGATATACACCTGAACATCAGCAGGAGAGGAACCTCTTAAGCCCGATTGCCCCTGCCGGCGGGGGCAGATGCTGCATCTTGCAAGAAACAGCGTCCCAAGGATTCTTAACATGTAACAATTAACCTGTCAAGCCCTGAGATTGTTTTTCAGGTCTCTGGCTCGAAAATGACATTCCCAGAAGAAATGACCATATCTTCCCTTTTAAAAGGGTTACATTAATAATCTTTTTTCTCAAAGTAATGATAAACCTGTGAGTTGGATGTAGAAAAGTCAGAATCAATATAGATGTTTTTTATTTTAAAGAAAATTCAGATTGAACATAGAAAAAACTGAATTATAGTGTCCGTCCAAAAATTATTTTTTACTTATAGTGAAAACTACCCTTGGATGATGGTAAGGTAGACTAAAGGCTTTAGGAAGCCAAAGTAGAACATATAATAAGTCCCCTGTATCAAGATTGATGCAAAACAAGTGACATTTTACCCTTTTAGAGAGATTTAGCAAAGAAAACTCCACCTCTGAGGTGATTTGGGTGGAAATGCGGGTTTTACCGTTTCTCTGGAACCCATTGGTCGATTTTTGTGATTCACATCTCTTTTTTACCGTTAGAGCCAATAGAACCGAAGGGGGATTTCCCCATACACACACATGGTAAAAAAAAAGGTGGGGGCTTTGCGCATGCAGGTTTGCATCAGAGTGAACCTATCTCTCGCTCTGACATCTGGAAACGGAAAAGCAGGTTTATTGCTTATGGATTATCAGAAATCATTTCAAAGGGACACAGATTGGATTAACCTATGGATTAACTTCAGCAGCGTTTTTATCGTTTTAATGCCATTGAAGACCACTTTTGACCAGACAACGACCAAGGTGAGCCATGTTGCTGTTTTTAGCTACCTAGCGCCACATGTTTTGATGTCTGTTCTTGTTAATAGCTTCGCAAGTTCTTATCATGGAGTGATGATTTATGTGTGCGTTGTCGCTTGCCGGCGGGGGGGGCTGAAACTCGACCAACAACCAATCACTTGAATCTCCCGCCCCAGACACACAAGCACGCGGTTTGATTAGCTAGAGCTTGTACTGGCATATGATTCAATTGGCTGACGCCTCCGTCGAAGCTTCAAAAGTAGAACATTGCTCTACTTTTGCAGCGAGCACCGCGAGAAAAGCTACGCTTTGCTCCCACAATGCAGTTCGGCGAAGCGTGACGTCACCTCATTCAAAGTGAATGGGCAGAAGCGTTGAAGCGGCAACGCACGCCGCCGTGTGTAGGGGCCGTTAGGGTTAGGCATGTGTTGGTTATGGTTAAGGTTAGGATAAGTCTCCAGGAAATGCATGTAAGTCAATGTAATGTCCCCTGAAGTGATGTATACATGGTATGTGTGTGTGTGTGTGGGTGTGTGGTGTGTTGTGTGTGTGTGTGTGTGTGTGTGTGTGTGTGTGTGTGTGTGTGTGTGTGTTTTGGAACATCACACAAGGGTTAAGGTATATTGATATCCACCCCCTGCTGTTTATTTTTAATTGTTTGTATATATATTCATTACTTTATGTACATCACTCTGCATTGTTCTGCTTTTTGCTCTTACCTTATTTGGTCAGCATCAGAGGGTAAAACCTCCAAAGCTCACTTCTCCTTCAGTTCTCAGAAGACAAATAAAAAAGCAGCAGGTGAGAGATTCTGACAGTCGAGAGCCAGAGACCGAGAGAGAAGCACGATGTCTGAATTCAGAAGGATCGTGATGTCTTCATTCCTGATGCTGCTGCTCCACTTTCCAGGTGAGGATGCAGAGAACACACGCTGTTTACGACATCACATCAGGTTTATTCATTGATCAAGGCGGCATACAAACATGAAGACAAACTTCCTCTCTTCAAAGTAACTCAAAGTTCTCCGTACCTAGCGTATCTTCCGCTTCCTGTTTAATCACACCCTCAGCTGTGAACGAATGTCATGCCATATATAGAACATATTTTAAAGCGTAGTGTGAATCACAAAAATAGATAGTTAAGAGTTTACTCTAAAGCCTTTTAGTAATAAAACAAACATTCAAACCATAATGATGAAAGGGAAATGGCTCTAACCCCTTCATTGAGCAAGGGGCACATTGCTCTGTATGAACTGGGTGTGAATGGGTGACTTGTTGTATGTAAAGCGCTTTGAGGGGTGAAAGACTGGATAAAGCGCTTTATAAATACAGTCCATTTACCAATACATGAAATAAAACAGCTTTAATATCACTAACGGTACTTTACTACGTACTGTTCCTTTAACTGAGAGTGATGAGTTGTGTTTGTAATGTGGTGACTTTAGTGAACTCTTGCTCATCAAAACTTTCACAAATATACAGTTTTAGTTTTTAGGAACTTTTGGATCTTAAATCAGAATTAGAATCAAGTTCATTCCCAGGTACATTTACACATACAACGAATTTGATTTGGTGTCTGGTGGTGCGAGACATACGTTGTCAAAATGATCACTATGTGAACAAAGCATGAATATTTCAGTTTATAATATTTTTTCATTTTTTAACAGCAGCAGCGTGGCAATTTCCTTCCTTCACTGTCAGAGCTGGAGATGAAGTCACTTTGCCTTTTGACAATGTGATAGATGATCAGGATGAGTGTGAGAGTACTAGCTGGCTCTTCACTGATACAAGAGGTTCAGCAGCAGTGACGCTGTTTGAAGGCTGGCAGATTCAGAACGATGCCAAAGCTAAATCAGACAGACTGAGAGTTACAGAGAACTGTTCTCTGGTTATAAAGAAGGTCACAGAGGAGGATGCTGGGCTTTACGCATGTAGACAGTTCAACAAAGCAGTTCAACAACAAGGTCCAGTCTCTCTGGTTGATCTGTCTGTGGTAACCTGTGAGTATTTACATCATAGTATTTTTAAACTGCCTCTATTGAGCATTAACTATTATGATGAAGTGAATAAATGAATGTTACTCTTGTAGTCTCTCATCATCGATCTGAGGTTCTAAAATTACAACATTCTATCATTTGTTTAATATTTTTCATTATAACATGTTTTTTTGTAATCGAAAAACAGCGACTCAATCATCACCAACAACAATACAAGGATGGATAATAGAGAATATTATCACATCAAAAGGTAATAACTAATAAGAACAAAGCTACATATAGAAAGAACATATTTTTGAATTGACATTTACTTTTTATCAGATGTGGACACTGAATAAAACACGCCAACTCATGGCTCATCATCAAAACCCTTTGAGCTATATTTAACTTCTCTGCTTGCAGGTTGGTGGAGGCTCCTCATTGGGTCTGTGGGTCTAACAGCTCTCCTCCTCAGTGTGGCTAAAGTACACATATGGATAAGAACCAAAGGTGAGAGTAGTTTCCCTTAAAATAAAAAGATACAGATAAAAGCACCCTGGATTTTCAGACTGTGGAAGTCAACTTTCCTTTTTTTTGTTTTAGGGAACCTAACACAGATGGAAGAACACATGGTGAGTTTAAACATTGGATAAATACATTGGAGTATTTATTATTCATTTTTTTACTGTGGATATACAAAAGACAGTACAAAATAGAACAAAAACCTAAATGTGGTATAGATATTTTGTTATAAATGTTTACATGGACTAAGTGTTCATTACTGTGCATTGTCCCTGCCAAATAAACGATTAAATATTAAATAAAATAAAATAAATGTTTAGGGTTTATTTGATAACTTATTATACTGCTGTACAGCTTGACCTACAGTATATTTCTGCATCGATTCTCAATATCAGCTGACAGGGGAGAAGAAAGCAGATTTAAACATTTGCTAGATGCGCTGTGATTGGCTTGTGGGAGATGAGATGAGTCTGATTGGTTTAGCTGGGGGTGTGATGCACACTTGCTTATTGAAAGTGCGAGTGAGTGAGAGAGGATTTGTGAATGAGAGTGTAACAGTCTTCCTGGAAGAACTTGCGCTGAGCTTAATTTATGTATCAGTATTTCTTATTTGTATTCATATATTGCAATGATCTTGCAAAGTAGCTAGTAACTAAAGCTGTGTGATCAATTAAGTGTAATTAAAAGTGAAATGGCTATATTTAAAATGTAGTTGGGTAAAGCTATAAGGTAGCATACAATGACATTCTCAAGTATCTGAAATGTGTACTTCAGTACATCAATGTAAATTCCAGCTCTGCTCTGTGTTTTTACCATGTCTTTGTTCCATGTTGACAGGAGCAGAGTGAAGAAGATGAAGATGAAGATAAGGCGGACTATGAAAACAAGAGCCTTCTGCCTCTGTGTGACTGATCAACAACATCAACTCCCCTCAGAGTCCATGCTGTCAAACATCACCTCCTCATATGTTACAGGAGAAAACAGGAGAACCATGAGATCATTGGAACATGTCTGATGACTGAGAACACCTGAGCCCCACGAGAGGCCCTTCAGAAACTCACCTCCATATGATAGGAAACACAGCTTATTATATTCATTCCTTTCTGATTTAACGTCCTTTAAGTATGCTCTCACATTCCCATACATATATGCTGAAACTTAAACCTTAAACTTCCAGCTGTTTATTCTGTAATGTCTTATTATTACCATTACTTGTACTCACAGTATATATGTTATTAGTATACCTTCACTCCTTACTGTAACTGCTGCACATGTTCATACATACAAGTGTTCTGTTGTATTTCGTCAAAATATCTAAATTGTAAAATGATCCCTAATCTATATTTTTTCATTTTACTCTCGAGGGACTATCAGTCAAACTTGGTTTAATCAATTTTAAGAATGTGTTTTATTTGTTTTTGTTATTAATGATTCATATAATGTCTTATAATTGGCATAACATCTGGCCCCATAAACATCTGCCCCCACCTCACTGACCTCCTCCTCCTCTACCAACCACCCCGGTCCCTCAGATCCACCTCAGCCGGTTTGCTTTCCATCCCCAAGGCCAAACTCCGGAGCTTCAGGGTTAGAGCCTTCTCTGTGGCAGCCCGAAGCTCTGGAACTCCCTCCCCCAAGACCTCCGTGAGTCCCTCACCCTGTTCCAGTCCCGCCTCAAAACCCACCTCTACAACTCTGTATCCATAAGCCCCCCCTCTCAACCAACTTCCTCCTTCTTTTTGGCTTTGTTTTTGTTTTGTTTGTCTACCCTCCCTCCCAAATGTAAAGCGTCTTTGGATTCAAGAAAAGTGCTATCGAAATAAAATGTATTATTATAACGTATACATTACATTACATGTCACTTGTTAGACGCTTTTATCCAAAGCAACTTACATACTCAATACTGTGGGCAATCCCCACAGGAGCAATTTGGGTTGAAGCGTCTTCAGGGACACAACGACATGCTGACTGCAGTGGGGTTTGAACCTGTGCTCCCCTGATCTAAACACCAACGCACAACCCACTGCACCACACGCCTCACTATACTTATACCTACAGTATATATATACCTGTACTTCCTACTGTAACTGCTGCACATGCTCTATATATCTGATCAATAGTCTATACAATATATTTACTATACTCACTTTTTACTGTATATGTATTCCTAAACCTGAAATGTATGTTAGGATGCTTTAATGAGATTAAGTCCTAATGGAATGTTTCACACCTTCTTTGCTTTAATGTTATATAATCCAAATAAAAAGAGTACTTTTATTCAATGTTATAATGAGTTGTGTTTCTCTCTCTATCTCCAACACACTGACAACACAACGCTTTGTTGGGTTTAACCCCTCTCTTTGCCCTGGCTCTCACTTTGTAAACAACATACAGTTTGTGTCAGAGCCAAGGGAGGTGTTGCACATTTAGTGGAGCTGTGGTGATATCCTGGGATCAGGTATGAGGCAAGAGAGAGAGTGAGACTGTTTGATTTTACTATACTCTTATGCGTTCTTGGTGAGTGGAGAAGAGCGTCATAGAGGAAGCTCTAAGAATGGCACATCGAGAAGAGGCTAACAAACCTTGCTAGGTGGCTATAGACCTTTTCAAATCCCCTGATTAACATACCTTCAGCTTTCAGTGTGGTCCTCCGGGTCAGTCAGCGGTTCCCCTGTTGAGCAGAACCGCATTTGGCCAGTTCTTCCTTGTCTCCAAATACTATTACCTTTGTTTATATAGACATTTATTTTATTAGGATAAACCTATACATCCATGGGATAAACCCCTTGAGATGCACCATCTTTTTAAGAGGGTCCCGACAAAAGCAACATACATGAAAGAAAATAACAGAAAGCAAAGCATGACAAACAAGGACAAACCACGTAGTCTGTTAAGTAAAATTCATGAAGTAATACATACAATCATTACATTGATAGACATTAGTGTCTAATAGATCAGTTTCATCAATAACAAGAGCAGAGCAGCTGAAATCGAGATGATAATGCTTAAACAGACCCAATGATGCAAGGGATCTACCAGTAGCAGGTAAAGTATGAGTCTGTTGGGGCTTTAAATATGAACGTTCTTCCGCCAATACGTTTTTTTTGCAGAGGGGACAGAGAAATCAATCTGGACAGAGTGTTTAACTTGATGATTAGACGAGTAAGAGACTAAATACTGCTTTAAATAAGGGTTTAATTGAAGAAAGTTCTGACACATCCAGTAATTGATTTGTTCAATGCACTTACTCAGTGTCTGAATTGGAGCATAGTCTCTTGGTGAAATGGTTAAGTAAATTAGTTTGTCATCTGCATAGCTATGGTAACTTATTTTGTTGTTTTTCATTATCTGAGCCAGTGGCATGTAGATGTTAAAGATAAGAGGCCCCAAGATGGAGCCTTGAGGAACCCCACATGTCATATTTCTCAAGTCAGATGTGTATTTACCTATAGAAACAAAGTTTTCCCTGTCCTTTAAGTAGGATTCAAACCAATTTAGAACTGTTTCCGAAAGTCACTCCCAGATCAGGTATAAGGAACCCCATTTTGCCTGCAGATCTGCGTCAGACTCTTTTGCCTGCAGGTTAGAGACTCTGACAGTCGAGAGCCAGAGACCGAGAGAGAAGCACGATGTCTGAATTCAGAAGGATCATAATGTCTTCATTCCTGATGCTGCTGCTCCACTTTTCAGGTGAGGATGCAGAGAACACACTTTAAATAAAACAGCTTTAATATCACTAACGGTACTTTACTACGTACTGTTACGTACTGTACTGAGAATGATGAGTTGTGTTTGTAACTTGGTGAGTTTAGTGAACTCTCAGAAACCAAGCTCTCACAGAGATATATTTTCAAACTTCTGTATCTACTGTATAATGATCATCATGTTAACTGTTAACACTACAGTTGTATTCATGTTCATTTCCGTCTTTGTTTTTTTAAACAGTTGCAGAGTTATCCAAATAACTCCTGGATTGTCAGAGATGGACATAAAGTCGCTTTGCCTTTTGAAAATGTGATACATGATCAGGATAAGTGTGACAGTACTACCTGATTCTTCAGTGATTTAAGCAGCACAGTAACACTGTTTGAATACGGACTGATTCATAAAGAAGCCAAAGCTAAATCAGCCAGACTAAGAGTTGAAAAAAACTGTTCTCTGGTTATAAAGAGGGTCACAGAGGGTAGAATATAATAGAATATATCTTTATTGTCATCACACATCAGTGCAACGAAATTCAGTTGGCATCTCTCAATGCAATACATAACATAAATAAGAACACATCCATAAAAACAGTGATAAAGCAGAGATAGTAGCAATAATAATCAGGGTCATCATATGCACTATACCAGAATGTTAAAATATATAAAGCTACAATGTTTAAATATAAATAGTTACTAAAAAAAAAAATATCAGTTGATACTTAATAAATATACAAATAAATAACATGGTATTTTAGGCTGCAGTCTTTGATGGGAAGTAGTGTGTTTGTATGTGTGCATGTTATAGTGCGTTTAGTGGTTGGACAGGGATGGGAGTGATAGAGGCCACAGCTCTGGGAAAGAAGCTGTTCTTCAGTCTGTTGGTGCGTGCTTTTATTGACCTGAACCGTCTGCCGGATGGCAGCGGTTCGAACAGTGAGTGGCCGGGGTGCTGGTAGTTACACCTGCAGACAGTTCAAAAAATCAGGAGCACAACAAGGTCAAGACTCTGTGTTTTATCTGTCTGTTGCAACAAGTCCTCCAACTCATACGACCAAATAGGCCGATTGTTCAGGCCCAATTATTACGATCTTATTACGACCAAATATGTTGTTTGTTCAAGCGCTTAATGAGTCCTATAATTACGTTTGAAAGTTTTCGCCCTCTAGTGCTCCTGTTGAATGCAAACGTTACAGAGGGTCGTTTATTCACAAATAATCCTCTCTGTAAAATCCTAAATTGTAGGATAGTTTGGCCATTAAAACGCTTTTTGATTAGATTTCTAGCGAGAAGTGTAGATTGTACCTTTACATTACATTACATTACATGTCATTTGTTAGACGCTTTTATCCAAAGCGACTTCCATACATTCAATACTGTGGACAATCCCCACAGGAACAATTTGGGGTGAAGTGTCTTGCCCAGGGACACACTTTTAGAATCCACGTCCAGTCGATATGTAGGATCTATAGTTTGATAGATATTACTAAGACGACATTTTGAGGTATGCGGCAGCCTCCATGTAAAGTTACGGGTTGAAAACAGTAATTCCGGTCTTGACGTTTTCATAATAAAACCAATGATCAAATGATTTAACAGTGATGTCTGCAGTACTCATCCACTAAAAAACATCAGTTTATCCTTGTTAATTATACGACATTTATTGGTTTATATTGTGTACAATGCTTTTGTGTTTTTCCCATAGGTTTTTCTCTTTCGATTCTGAGAGACACCTTTCTTTTTTCAGAGGTTTTGATCATCGCCGCAATGCATGCCGGATATGGTGTTTATCCGATATGAAATTGGAAAAACATTTTTTTTAAATTAAATAAACTTTATTCCGAGTGTTCTTGCTTTTCTCTTTGGAAGTCATCACATATCTTCCATCCGGGGTCCCATTGACACCAGCCCATGTCATGTCCAGGATCCCGTCTACGCCTGTCCCACCGGCTCCGGTTCCTGTCCGGCCGACACCGGGTGCTGCCCGGCCTCCGGAGCTGTCCCGTCAGCGCCTACCTGCCCATCCTCCGGAGTTGTCCCGTCGCCGCCTTCTTGCCCGTCCTTGTGCCCGGCCCCCTGAGTTCCCGGCCCCCTGAGTTCCCCAGCCGCGGTCTTCGCCCTCGAGCCCGGCCCCCTGAGAGCCGCGGTCTTCGCCCTCGAGCCCGGCCCCCTGACTTTCCCGGCCGCGGCCCTTGCCCTCGGGCCCGGCCCCCTGACTCTTCCAGCCGCTGCCTTCGCCCTCATGCTCGGCCCCCTGAGTTCGCCCGCTGTGGCATTCGCCCCTTTATGAACTCTGCCTTGCCCCCGGGCCGTCCGCCCGAGACCCCCACAATGAACTCTGCCTTGCCCCCAGGCCGTCCGCCCGAGACCCCTTCCTGGTCTTCTGCCGTGCCCCTGGGCTTTCAGCCCAAACAAGTCCTCCAGACCCCCTCCACTCACCCTTTTGGCCCGAGATGATTGTCTGATTGTGTTCACCTGTTGCCCTTGTGTTTCTCCTTCCCTGCCCGGCTGTTTCTCGTCTCG